AAGCTGTCCAGCACATTGGGACCACAGAAGGGTAACTTTACCACAAAAGCCAACTGAGCCAGGGAGTGGATAAGGCCAATCGTCCAGGCAGCCACAAAAAAGAAGATGCATATCCGTGGGTTCATGATGGTCAGGTAGTGGAGGGGCTTACATATGGCCACATATCTGTCAAACGCCATAGCAATAAGCAGCAGCATCTCCACACCACCAATGATGTGGATGAAGAATATTTGAGTAATGCAGCCATTAAAGGAGATGACTTTATGTTTTCTGAATAGGTCATAAATCATCCTGGGAGAAATGACAGAAGAAACTCCCAGGTCAATGAAGGAGAGGTTGGCCAAAAAAAAGTACATTGGGGAGTGTAAGTGATGGTCATAAATCACAGTGAGTATAATGAGGGAGTTTCCCATCATGCTTGTCACATAAAGCATCGAGGAGAGCATAAAGAGGATAAGTTGGATCTCCCAGATGTTGGTGATTCCGAGGAACACAAATTCTGACACTGTTGAGTGATTTGCTCCATCCATTGATTTATCAGCTGGAATGTTTCCAAATAAAGATAATGAAAAGAAACTCAAATAAGAATGTTAATAATCCTTACATTGTAATGATTAATCATTTAAAAATATGCACACATGAAGACTGATATTCTGTCAATTGTCCTCTTGTGTCCTAGAATTACTAAAAGGCATTTCTTTGTTATTTTCTAGGGTCGATGAGTCATGCCACATGCAATTGCTCTATCACCACAGTCTCTAGGACTATTCAGCTGTAACAGAAGATGAAACAAATATGGGAACATGGTAGATTTTGAATCATACACAATGATCTCACCAATGTTACCTCAAAGAAAAAGGGGTGTGTGTGTGAAAACAACATATTTGTATACAAGGGTTGGTATATAGGCGATGAGTGCAATATAAAGAGAAAACCAGGTAGTCTTATACTCCAGAATTCAATGATCCTGTTTTTAAATTGTTCATGAAAAAATTCTACAGTCAATGATTTATCCCATGTCTTAACTGTACATTACCCCAGTCACATAGTTTGTCTCTTCTAGTCATTCTTGATCCATCAACTACAATCTCATTTGCAATTCACACGAAGTCGCGGAACTGGGAAGCAGAGGAGAACCTGATAATGGGCTTAAAAATAGTTCAAGTATAGGACAAGCAAAGCAAGAATGGACTAGATATTGGTGGCACAAGGTATTAACACTGCTATCCACATAAGTCTGAGTGATAATAGCTTATAAGATGGTTGGCAAACAGGATATTTTCAAGATGTGCAAAGCAAGGAACAGAACATTGATTTGGGAAACAAACAAAAAATAATTACACAAATCAGTTTACTTAATCTGTTCAGTTTCTTCCCAACTCCCAGCTTGAAATTTGTTTTTAACTATTAGAAATCTAAGTTAGTGGCTAATGATAAACAAATATAAGGCTGCAGTTTTTATACAACCATTGACTGTATCCTAGCTCCTCATCTTCCTTAAACCCTTCCATCCCTTTAATCTCTGCTTTCTTCTTTAGCCTTCCCAAGTATCCTAGACAATAGCAATTGTCAGTGTTCCCTAAAACTAATTCTGGGGGACGACATCTTTCTAGTTATTACCCATATGATGCAGGGAATA